TCCAACTAGTAGCGCTATTTCCGTAGGTCTAATACACAAACCTGCAAGAGAAAGAGACAAAAGGTACAGAAACTGCACAGTATTACACTTTTTTTTACAATTCTGAGTAAAGTACCTGAGCGAAACCTATGACATGGACTGTGTAAGTTTAACCTTGTATCTGTTAAAAATAGATTAGGGAGAAAAATGACCAGGTGAGCGCTTTGCTCGTGAACGCCCAGCCAGCCCCAGGTGCCAAGGGCACTGCTGCCTAGAGAATTCCTATCAGAACAGTAACAACATCTTATGTAACCTGTTTGCCTGTTATTTAAAACTATGAGGCTGAGAACTTACCTGAATCACAGAATCACAAAATGCCTGGGTTTGAAGAGACCTTAAAGATCATCTCTTTCCAACCCCCCTCCCGTGGGCGGGGACACCTTCCACTAGACCAGATTGCTGAAAGCCCCATCCACAACCTGGCCTTGAACACTTTTAGGAATGGGGCAGCCACAGCTTCTCTGAGCAAACCTGTGCCAGGGCCCCACCACCATTATAGTAAAAAGTTATTTCCCAATAATCTAAACTTGCCCTCTTTCAAGCCGTTCCCCCTCATCCTGTCACTAAATTCTCTTGTAATCTAATCACAAAAGTGCAGTAAAATGAACTCAAAAATTTGTGAGCTGGGCAAATAGTAGAATTGATCAGAATAATTCTGAAAAAGACAGTGACAGTATACAAGTTTCAGTTTTAGTCTTCTAAAAATCTTCCCTAAGTAGTGTTTCTATGTGTGTCAGATACAGAAATCTATTAGTAAAATATAAACACATGCAAGGTACTACCAGCTGTAAGTACTGAGTGGATGAGAAGGGCTTTCATTAGCAAACAATATAAACCAAAGTAAGCCCAACATTTTAAAAAAAACAGAAACTAAATGAAAACAAATCTATTGCAAATACAATCAACCTCTTGGGCCAAATTAACTGGAGGACTGGAAAGGTTACATAACATGTATAAAAAAGGGTTATCAAGGGGAATGATAATTTTTTTGTCCTTTTATGATATTGTCTACATTTAGAAGACTAAAATTTTATGAAAGACCAATCAAAAATAATTCTCTAGAATTTAGGTTTCTTATAAGTCAGAATTTCTATTTTCTGTTCTGAACTCTTAACAAGATGACCTTACTTAACAGCACAGAGCATGCAGGAGGGAGAATGTTTTGGCACCTCTGTTAAGATACTACCTGAGATTCTGGACTACTAAACTGTCAGGAGTGCTTTTGCTGACTTTGGTAAAGGAATCTACAGCACTTCAAAACGCAATTCTTTTATCAGCCTTACTTTACTTTAATTTTGCTTTTCCTTAGGCTCTCTCCTCCACGCTTTGAAAACCATGGTGAGAGAGAGGCAAGCAAAAACCCCTGTATTGTGCTCATTATGAAGACCTGCACGTTCACATTTCACTGCAGTGCTCTGCAGGGCAGTGTCAGAGCAGCCAGGAGGTGATGCTCTGATACCCCTCTGGGAGATGATGGCGGGGGCATCCACGATTAGTTAAACATATGCTTTTATTCCCTGCTTTTTCTAAGCACAGTAAGCAGACCATTATTTACATACAGCTCCTGACATTTTTAGGAACTTTTTAATTACAAGAATTCAGAAATTTTTTACTCTGTTCTGTTGCTGAATGCAATGCAGAAGGTATTTCTTTTCTATTACAAGTTACAATAATATCACCTACACTGAACATTTTCACTTGAAAAGGGCAAAGAGGAAAAAATGAACTTGTCTCTAGACTGGCCACACTTCCATAGTAAGCCCCATGGGAATAGAAAATATAGACTGGTGACATCTCCACCTTCTGAAGTTTTTGGAGGGCTTAGAACGGTGATGCATTGAACTGGAATAAAGACGTTCTCCTTACAGCACCGTTACAGGGGAAAACCTACAGGTGAGCTGGCTGTACTCAACCTTCAGCTAGAGAAGGAAACTTTGTTTCTGTTGTTAGTCAAAAGATTTTCAGAAGATGTTTGTTATTAGAATGTCAGGCCAAGTCAAGCAGCACTTACTGAACCATCTGAAGCACTTGCTCCAACTTTGTCTCCTGCTGCATTCCAGCAAACCTCGAAAATCCCTCCTGTTCCCCGATAACTGTGAACTAGGGCACCTGTCTAAAAAGGGACAAGACAGGTAATTAATACAACAAAATTCAAGTGAACAATTTGTACACGTAAAAATTCCCCACTGCTTTCAAAAGCTGAAATTCTCACGAGGAAAAATGGTCCAGGTGAGACTTCTGGACAACCTCAAGCACCGTGTTAAAGAATGTGATGCAATTATTGCATCTCAAGCTCTTGTGTTTGACAGGCAAAACTGGGGATGGTCACAACTACTTCCAATTACTAAAATGAGCCTTTCAAAAATTGATGCCTAATTCCCAGCAGCCAGGGATTGAATCATGTCTGATAACAAGATCCTTAAACTTTCAATTACAATAAGCCTGTTTATTTTTGCCAGAAATGCCAAACAAGTAATAGTGTCCTATTTTACAAAGTCACGTAGAAACATTTTGTCATCATCTTCTCTCACTTCACATTCTTTTGTTTCTCAGTGAAATTTAATGAAACAGCTAATCAGATTAATATTAGTCTACATCCAGTCATTTTTCATAAGAAACCTGTTTTATCAGGAGTTAAAAGTTCAGAGGTAAAGACAATATTTGGATGCAACACGTTACTGGAGACATTTCACTGACTGTTTTTTTTGTCAGTCGTTTTTTGGTTGGGTCTTTTGGTTTGTCTGTAGGGTTTTTTTCTGATAAGTAAAGACATTGTAAAGATAATTAGTACTTCACCATAGGCAAGCACTCAGGCGAGAGATTAAATGCACATCCATGAACAGAAGCAATGTCAGAACAAAGAGAAGGTGAAGCAGAGTGGTAGGAATGGCAGAGCTCTTTGTGGCTGAAACACGACGGAGCAACCAAGGTTGGAAAGGTGCTGATGGAAAAGACCAAAACAAACTTCCCAACAGACAGAAGAGTATTAAAATACCTGTGTATTCCAGATGTGTACACATTTATCAAAGGAGCCACTGGCCAGGTACCTGCCATCAGGACTGAAAGCTACACTGTACACAGGTTCTTGATGTTTTGTCAGAGTATGAATACAAATTCCTCTGTCTACATCCCATAACCTAACAGTAGAATCAAAGGATGCACTGTCAAGGAAAAAGACAAGAGATGAATTATATCTCAATTCAACATATTTTTGGTACTAATACAAACAGAATACGACAAAGTATCCTACATGCTTCAAAATATTCCGTGAACCTACATTTATAGAGAGTGAAGTAAAAATAATGTTTAACAAGCATTTAAAACCCAGGATTAAACAGTACCTTGCTAACATAAGATTGGCATTTGGATTATTTGTTCCTGGTCCTGTAGGACTCCATTTGATAGTATAAATTTCTTTGTTGTGTGCTTGTAAATCATGGACACAACTGTCTTGTTTCATACTCCAGATCTACGATAAAAAGGGAAGAAAACACAAAGACATTTAGCACAATATTATACTAAAATACATTTTACATCTTTCTTCTTTTATCATTTGCAGGCTGACTGCTACCTTTTAAGCCACTCAAAACATTTGCTATGACTGCTGGGTTCCTAGAGTGATTATGTCAATTATTATTCCAGGACCTTCCATTTTTTGGGTTATAAGCCCCCCAATGAGCTCAATGGGCAATAAAGGGGCTGTCTGTAGAAACCAATCTGCCTGAGTTAACTGCAAACCCCTTGAAAAGTGCAGGGATGAGAACAGATGCTGAAATGAGAAGAGCAATATGTATATGTTCGTGTCTGAGTTGACAAAATATCACAGAACTATTTTTAAGTTAACTTCTTGCTACACAGACTGAGCAAAATAAAAGGATAGTAGGGAAATTTTCTGCTTTCTTACAAATCCATAGACACATACTGCAGAAACCATTATGGCATTTCCCTGGCTTATCAGGATTTGCATTGCCAGGTGTGTGTTCAGTACTTCACACAGGTCATTAGGACTCCCAACTCCTTTACGATCACATTCAACAAGCAAAATAACTTTATTCTATTAAGAGTTTACACTGCCACTACAGAAGGAATTTTGCAAGGCTTTTATACCTTTTCCTAAATCTGAAACTTGATACGGTAGTTAGCCATCTGAGTGCTTTTTTTAATGATATCTGTTTCAGTAGTGCTTTTAGCTCATCTTTTGTTAGAAAAAGTTAAAGAAGCATGCTCAAGCCCAACTGTATTTAAGATGCAGTTGAGGTGTATGTTTAAATAAATGATGCTTTTCAGAACTGCTGCTTCACTGAAGAGGAAATTGATTTTCAATGTGCATACAGAATTGAAATTGTATTTCCAATTTAAAATTATGAGATCAAAATCTAGCTTCTCTTCCCCAAAACTAGTATAGATGAAAAGGGTCCACATCAGCTGCCCTACAGAACATCAAGTTGTCATCACAAGAGAGAAAACTAAGTAGATAAATCACTAGGCACCTTATATGTGCTGCAAAACCTGACATTTATTCCTTCTGCCATTCAAAAGTAAGTGATCCACAAGTGATTAGTGATGTGCAGACTTATCCTCAAGCACTTGGTCTTTGAACTAATCCTGAACAAAACGGTAACACTTGTTCCAGCCTGGGCTGAATTCAAAACAGCAACCAAGAAGTTAATTGCCTGAATTGCCTGAGCCCACAAACACTGACACGTTCCCAGCTGGCACCTCTGCTCACTGAGAGGCAACAGCAACAGCTCGAGCTCTAGACTGGAATTCATCACACTGCAGTTTCAGCTGTTCAAGTATTAAACACCGAGCTTAAACTGGCTACTTTGACTCCATCCATTGCCATGGAGAACAATTGATGCTCCCAGGGGGTTAACTCATCACACTTGACTTAAGACACCTTAGGAAAGGGTGAATTGCTCTTAGACTGAAGATGTCTAGACATCTAGCTTTAGTCAGGAGGCTTAATGCTTAAATGTTTATATTTAGATAAGATGATTTCCATCACCAGAGACCGACTGTGTGACAGCAGGAGGCAAATGTGGCTACCCATTCAGCCATTGCCTGTCCCTGATTTAAACAACAGTGAGCTGGATGGAATTAACTGTCCCAAGGGCTGTAGTGGGACAGCGCTGTCAGTGCCAAAAGTGTATCCTGAAACCCTACCAAACACAGGGCTAAGGCACCCACTGAACGTAAAGCAGTACAGGGGTAATGGAAAGCATCTGTGCCATGGAAGCAGCACAGGCCTGTCAGGCATGAACAGCCTCGTTTATTCAAGTGCATGTAACCTGGAGGCATCTTTGTAGGGATCTCTAGGGCGCCCTGAAGTCCTGTGTGTTAAGTTACAGTGTCCTCTGCACTCACAGGTTTGCCCCAGTTCTACAGGAAAGCAGGTTGCTATGAATTACAGAATGGCTCCTGATGAACTGGAAGAAACAAGGAGTGCACACAGCCCCTGAAGAAACAATATGCCAAAGATTTTAACTAGAAAAGAAGGGGAAAACAGGGGAAAACCAGGAAAGGAGCAACCCACCTGTTCTAGTATGTGTTGCATGACATGCATTCCAGCTTTTTCTTTTAACCAAAAGCAGCCATCAAGCGTGACAGCTTAATGATTAATGACCTGATTCTGTAAACAGCTAAAAGCACCTAATAAATCATGCTCAGTCTCAGGGTGGCAGCCTGTAACAAGTTCTCTGGACCAAAGCTTGGCTCTGATTAACACGGATTTCTAGGATTGCCTAACCTTGCTATATTAAAAAAGAGCAAATATTGGACAATACATTGGGAAGTACAGTGATACTGCTGGATTGTCCACACGAATGCTGTGCACTCCAGAGTCCTACAAGGACAAGGGCCAGAACCAGAACTCCCATTACCTTTAGAGTCATGTCATCAGAGCAGGATGCCAGGAGATTACCAGTTGGATCCCATTTGATTGCATTTACTTCATTCTAAAATGGAACAGTGAGAGTAAGCTGGAGTCATCACTTCCACTACAAATGACAGAATACAAAAGCTGGACAGCAGTTATGAGTATCTGCGTAATTGTCAGGATTTTAACACTTAATTTTCATTGACAGCGTTGCCTTCAACAACAACAGCTTTTTGCTACCTGTTCATCACATTTTCCCAAGCAAGTCTGTACACTACATAGCAAAGTTTTAAAGTTACCACATTTCTTCTTCTAAAGCTCAATTTTTGCATTCTGGCACTGGCAAAAGAAGTTGCACGTGGGAGTGAGAATTGTTCTAATAATCACAAAGACTACAGTTACCATATGTCCTTAACCACAACTACCTGTATGTGCACCTATTGCCTGGACAAGTGCTGAGTACTGGCAAGTTTACTGGAGCCACAATCTCTCATTAATAAAAATACCAGAGCAATCCCCAATCTTCCAGTACTTACTGTGTGACCCTGGAAGGTTTTGATGGGCCTATCTTGTCCTAGTTTACAAACGTGAATACACATGTCTGTACTGCAAGAGGCAAACGTGTTGTTACTCTGCCAGTCAACATCTAATGCTGGTGCTAAAAGAGAAAGAAAAGACATTTAAAGCTATTCCTGTACTCTGCAGGAATTTCATGTGCAAATTCAGCATGCACCACCTTAGAACAAATGCCAACAGGAAGCAATGATTAATTTTACATCAGCTCTGAGGATAATCAAACACTATGAACAGTAAGAAATGCAGTCAAAGTGAATCTTACACAAAATGAAACAAAATTTAAGTCATTAAAATAAGGAACATATCTGAAATGAAAGTTATACACAAGACAGGGCAGCAGGACACCAGGCTGTAGTTAAGCCATCTGTAAATAAACCTCAGGAGTCAGCACAAAGAAGGGGTTCCCACAACTTCACACGTTATCACACACGAGCTCATCTCCACTAACTAGCTCATCTCAGCCCCTGCCTGTGCTGATAGATGGCAGCCAGGGAAAGGTAATGATTTACTTCCTTTCTTAATTCCAGCATTATAAGGTGTGGTGACTTGAAGCTTAATCATGGGCAACGCATTCCATTTGATCAAGCCAGATATTTATGGCAGACAGCACTCAGAGCTGCTTGGAGTAAATCACGAATTGAAGTTTCTGATTGTTGTCATGCCACTGGAAACATAGTGTGAGCAGAATGAGGAGTGAAAACAAGACACATTTCTTAAAGGCCCTTCGATGACATGTCCGCCATCCTCTCTGTTCTATTTCCCAGCTGATTCTGGCAGGCTTGCTCAGCGTGCAGCCCGCAGAGCAATTTGTCTGACCTCCTGTGAGGCTGCACTCTCATCCCAGCTGGCCACTGAACAGCCTTTCAGCTGGTTTGTGGCCAAACAAATTGGGGACAGCACAGCGGGAAGCAGCGAACAATGGGATGGGGGGCTGGGATTACTGTAGCAGGAAGATGACAAATGCAGTCCTTAGGTAATAAACACAAGTCCCTCGTGGCCCACCCACTTGATTTGTCTTCCACTGTACTACAGAAAGTCAGGAATATTTGGATTATTTCTCTCTTATGGCTTCCACAGAAATGCCATAAAATTGTGAGTTACAAAATCAGAACAAGTCTACTTTTGTTCACATTCTCATTACAAATACGGGAGTCAGTAACCACAGACTGCCTGTTAGATTTTAAATTGGTGCGAACAAGCACCATAAGCAAAGGATCTTTTAACTTATTTTAATAAATAACACTTTTTCCAACTTTTCAGATGATGATCCTGAATGACCAAAATCAAGACTTACCAGAATGAAAAGGAAACTGCTGCTTGGCTTCGCCAGTGTGGGCATCCCAAATAATTGTGGTCTGTATTAAACAGATAAATAAACAATAAACAAACTTGTACAAATTGCTAATTTCCCCACAATTGCCATCATTCTCAAGTACCAGAGCACCTAACCTGCTCCCCATCACCCAAACCTGATCCTGATTATACATTTCTAGTGTTTTACCCAGTACTAAAGGAAATGGTAGTAGACGTACAGACAACTGTAGAAAACCTTAATATGTTGTAATATTAGAGAGGTGTTTAATCACAACATTTTGGGGTCTGGAGGGAAGAAGGGAGTTGTGGGCTTTTTTTATTTTTAATAAACAAAAATTAAATAGATTTACCTCCTTAGTCCTATTTACATTCTTGTAATCCATTCCACACATCTACTTTTATTTGAAATACCTGAATATTCAGATTGTAATATCAACTACTCACTTGTCCCTAAGGAGATCTTATCAACAATTGGTCATATTCTGAAAGATTTAAGGGTGCAATTTTGTTCTGAGTTATTCTCTGCCAATATTTGGGTTAAAGAAATCTTACATGACAAAATTCGTACCTTCTGATCACTATATTATTTGCCAATATCCCTGATCTAGCTCAACGATCAATGAACATTTTGACACCAAATTCAATGGAAGCATGAACTGACCACACAAATAATTTATGGAAAACAAGCATTAAGGTTAGAACAATCTTTCTGCTAATAATGCAGAATATTTTTCGAAGCATAAACTCAGCTGCTTTGGCTAAGAAGTTTTTTTGACTGAAATGAGCCTTCTATTTTCCTCCAGAATATTTTTCTGCAAATTAAAGCTGAACCTCTACAAAGATTTAAAAACTGGCATAACCATCACAGCTGCCAAAAGAGGAAGTACATCCTTTCCATGCTTTGAAACATTCAGTTTTCCTTCCTTTGTGCCAGCACAAGCATTTATAAAGCTGGGCACTAAAGCAAACCAGGTTAAATGTGTGCAGGAAAAAAATAACAAATAATGGAGAGAATTTACAACTTTACAGTGACACTGCCAGTTTTAAGTGGTTGTACTGAGCTTGCAGTTTGCTTCTCCTGCTAAGAGAAAGCCTGTGTTGACTTGTGCAGCTTGAATCAGCTACAGAGGAAAAACTCAACTCTTCTTACACTTTTGAACACTCTATTTGATTCTCTGAATTCATCCTAAGTCTATTCTTCATCACTATGTGCCCTTCCTACCATTCATAGAATCTCTTACACTAACAACAGCTCTGAATTTAAAGACCTTGTGAGTCTAAGTTTGCTTAGAGACGTGAAATAAAACACAGTTAAACAATGAGCTCCATGGCATTACACTACTGGCACTTCCCCAGTCACATATATTGACCTTTCTTATGTTCCAGCTCTAAACTTTTCAACCATTCTCAGGCTTGACTGATATCCAACTCAGTGATTTTTTTTTTCCTGAGGCTTTCTATAAAGTGCTTCACTAAATTTTAAATAATTTAGTTTTAAAAAGGTTTACTGTTTCTGCTTCCAACACACTTACTTTCCAACTTAGGTTAAACTAACTGCAAAGAGATCCATGGACACTGAAATCTAAGAAATTAAAATATCTCAATAAACTACTACGAAACCCAAAGAAACACAGCTAGAACAACAACTTCTTTGTAATTACATATTTACATCCCATGCCTTCAGTTCAATTTACTTACTTTTCATAGCTTTGTTATTTTGCTTACAATTAGATTATAACGGTGAAGGAAAGAATTTTAATTTTACCAAAGATTATCTCACCTTGTCCACTCCTGCACTTAAAATGAAGTTTCCTTTCTTGTTCCATTTTAACGCAAATATAGGACCTTTATGTTGCCCTAAGGTGCTGGCAAGATTACCTGAAAATTTATATTGATATGAATACATTAAAAAAAATAAAAAACTATGCTGTGAGCCACAATACAGGAAAATATACTGGAAATTAAAAGTATTTCACTTACCATCTTTAGTCCATATCCTCGCAAAGCCATCGTAAGACCCAGTTGCTAGAAGTGTACCTTCACTCTGCCAGCAGAAAGGTCATTTATTTATTTATTTATTTATTTTTACTGCATAAATCAAAGCTAAAGAGCACAAATTTCAGGTAGAAGGTAGAATACATCTGGATAAGATTTATGGTATTTATTCCATAGATTACAACTTATTAAAAAGAAGCTCCTTAAGTACAATAGAAGAAATTATGATGCCACTCAAGACAGAAATATTTCAGGTGCCACCAGAGGATGCACCGTTGCTGTCACTTAAAATTTGACCCTGCAACACTGCAACTGTACAATTTTCTCTGGGTGTTTCGAGCACTGCCCTCTGTACTCACGTTCCAGTCCAGTGATGTCACATCTTTGTTGCTGGGTACGTCCTGCCCTCCTTCCCGGATGCAGTGCCGAAGTACCAGCTGTGTCGAGCCGCTCGTGCTGTTCTCGCTGAGGTTCCATATCCGTGCTGTCGAATCGCCAGATCTACAAAAACATTATTGTGTAGCATCATATGCAATTATATCACATTATTATTATCATCGTTATTTAGAAAAAAAAAATACAATTAGAAATACTCTTTCCTAAACAGCGAACGCGGCACTTGGAGCAGAGGGCGGCAGGGGTAGGTGTTATTTTAACTTGTTGCCATCAAGGCTCAGCAGTGAGCCAGATATTCCACGCATTCCTGCTAAGTGCACATACCCTGAGGCCAAAAGGTCACTAACGGGATTCCAGGCACAGATGAATACTTCAGATTCATGGCCACGCAGCACCACTGCCTTGTTGGGAGGGATTTCAACATCTCCGTCTACTTCCATCATGTCTGTGTGATTATCTGCATTGTGGGAAACAGTAGAGAGAGGTGGATTTTAATATTTTGGGACAGTACGTTGCGACTTCTGTACGGTTCAGATTCTTCTGGGATAAGGACAACAATCTGCAATTTATGCGATTCAAAAATCTGACAAAGCTGTTACGTTCCCTTATTTTTCCAGTTCTGGTTTATGAAGTGCTACAAACAGATGGGGAGTTTCAAAAACGTGGGAAAGCTCTTTGCCCTACTAAACCTTCGCATCCAAACGGATTTAATTTTGAGGCTTCAAAATTGAGGCAGAAAGTTATTTTTTTGCTATGTTAAAAAACAAATGCTGTTACAAGTACTCAGTTTCTCAGTCTAACTTATGCTTTCAAACATGCTTACTACACATTCATTTTCAAAAATCTCCCTTTTCACCAATTGCAGTCAAACAGGTTTTAAATCTACATCTCAGACACTTCATTTACAAAGTGGCTTTAATTAATATAATCACATTTGGTGATATAGTAAACTGATAACAGAACCCCTCAGCAATTACCATGGAATTGTGGCAACACAGAACTTCCTGCGTGGAAGGCAGGTTGTATCCATATTGTTCCGTACAACACACTGGGGGTAATTCAACAGTTCTCTCAGCATCTACCATCAATAATTTTCTATTATTAAAAATAAATTCACGCCGAGTGCAAATGCAGAATATGGGAAATGCTGCACAGTTCACCTGCTCCATATTTATTCACCGTGGTTAAACAAATCATTCCATGTCTATCGCTTAATTTAGCATTAAGGGTTTCTGTCACCGTTCGTATGTGTGAGAAAACAGAAAAGGCTGTTGGAACATGCAGAGTTTTCAGAAAGGCACCAAATAAAGCATTGCTTCAGTCAGAGAATCGATGCCAAGATGAAGTGCTGTACCAGCCAGTAGGGGCTGCTGGTAGATCACAGTTAACAGTGCCGTGATCCGAGGTTTACCCTTCCTCTATCCAGTTCACAGTTAACAGGTAAATGCTCTTTTGAGGTTTTTAAATGAGAGAGTCAAAGTAGAGATCTTACTTGTTTCAGCCAAAGATTATATTTCCAGCTTCTTATCATATATGCTAATAAAAAAACTCTTAGTAAAATCCAGAACTTGTATGTGGCCTGATATTACTATTCTCTCAAAAATGTAATTTCTTCAGGTGTTTTTACAGCAAGAGCTGTAACTCCCACTCTTGAATGTGAAATTCAGACTTCCAGAACAATATTTTCAAAATAATTTTTTAATGCCTGACCCAAACTTTTCCATACTACGCCCGACTGTAAGGTATGTTCTTTTGACCAGTGATGACAAAGAGAACTCATTTATTTCACCAATCACAGCTAAAATGGGATTGATGAATAAACCAACCCTGAAAGCAGTTGCACTGAATAATCCTGAATAGCAAATCATGAAAACTGATACTGATAGAAGAGACAAGTGACACGGGGCTTGTCCCAGCAACCATGACCTCAGCATGACAAGCAGGCCTGTCCTAGGGGGAGCCGGATAGAGCTCCCAATCCATGGATTAACAGAACCTGTTGGAAGGAGTTTGTGGAGCTTCAGTGCTCAGTTTTAACTGGCTGTGGATTGGCAGAGTCCTCTCCTCATTCCCTGTACAGGGGCTAAACCAGAGAAGATGCAACCTTTAAAGAGTTGTCTCTGATTATTTTCTGCAAGAGTTTTCAAGGAGTCCTGTGAAAAACCTTCAGATGATGGGAAAGGAGCAGTAATAGAAGTGAGATTGGGTCAAGGGAATATGGTGAATTAATGAATTCAGAAGTCTGCATCTCCTGCAATTCAAAATATCAAACTGGGGGCAGTCAAAGGTGAGACACCACCTAAAGGTATTCTCTGCAAGCTGAGGGGTTACCTCTACACTTTTACCTCACTGTCTACTGGTTCATATTTTGAGAAACGACAAGAAAACGTTAACACAGCTTAAGGTTCTATCTCAACTTACTTGCTATAGTATGTGCTCCATTCTCTTCCCCATTTGCAGTATTCTCTCCATTTTTTGCTGATCCCTGTTGGTTGGTGGCGGCTGCAGCTGCAGCAGCTGCTGCCTGCTGTTGTGCAAGTTTATCTCTGTAGGCCTGTTGTCTTGTCTGTACCACATCAGGCATCACTGCATCTATCAGTGAGAGAGACTCTATCGGCCTACCATCAAACAAGGTACCATCCTAAATTACAGCAGAGGGAGAAAACAAACAAACAAACAAAAAAAGACAACACCAAGTACATGAATTAACATTATGGGCAAAAATTTCAAGAAGAACTAAAGCAAAAGTTTTGATTTAATACAATACATATAACAAATGGCGCTGGAAGTGGTATCTCATCACTGTTGTGGTCAGGATTGGAATTTTGATCTAAAGTTAAGTGGCCGCTATAAATATGCAAAAAAAGCCACTGCAGGCCTCTGGGAGAGCCTGTGGAACCAAAAGTTATTTGCTTCGAGTTTGCTAATTCATCTGCTAAAGCAAAAAATTCTGTAAGCTATCTATGAATATGATTTCAAACATGAGTGGCTGCAGCGAAATCTAATGGTTTGTTTGAAGAGCGAGCTGCAAACATTGCAACTCAGGTCACTGACTTGTGAAGTTATTCTATCTTATTAGACTAATACTTTCCATAAACATATTATCTGGAGAGTTGACTAGTTTTCTTCCTTTTTTTAAACAGTGCTGGCATGCTTTCAAACAACAAGGAAGAATTTTATCCTGAAATGGACAAGACCCAGTTAAAAATACACTTATACATACGCTGGCCTTTGTAAGGATCTATTTTTAGGAGCCAGAAGGATTCCTTGCAATAAATATAGGGTCTCTTTCTTCTATTCCTATCACTTGCATTATTTTTCTGAGGCTTCCTAAGGGAAAGGATTTGCTTGGAACTATGAAAACTACACATAAACAGCAGACATAAGGGAGACTGGAAAGAGAGCAGAATTAGTGGGAGAAAAAAATAGTTTCCTTCTGTAATCTAACTGACACACAGAAAGGCTGCTAACCTTCCAGGCATAAATGAGAATGGAAATTGAGGGTGAGTGTCTGCAGCATCAGGCAGGAAGATACATAGCTTTCTGTACTGCTGGAATAACCATTTAAACATCAAATTTAATAGATCCTGCTCAAGATGAATTAGCCAGCAGAGGCAAAAGGCAAAGTGGCATATACCTTCATCCTTCCTGCCACAAATTCAAACCCTCTCTCTACTTGGAAACCTTGCCTTTAGGTTCTCATTACTTCATTATAACGACACATCACCCAAATGAAGAGCTGCATAGGGCTCTCCCACCTCCCTGCTGCCAGCCTAAGAAAATTAAAAGAGATTACTTGTCTCAATTATTATCTTATCTCACTTGTCTGGATGTACTACAACATTATATTAGGGTAAAAACTCTACAGACAACGGACCTTTAAGCAATGAGCCAGAACACCATGCCTGGTGTTGTGTGGCTGCACTGGGCAGAACCCCTACCCAGTTATGTCACTCCATTCTGGTTCCACCACTGGAGTCATGGTGAACACCAGCAGTAAGGAATCTGAAGTAAAAGTAAATAAATAGGATACAAGAAAGTTAAGAAAAAATACCAACATTCAAACTTACTGCAAGCAAGGACACAATGCTCCTGCAGGCAAAGCCTCCTTACCTCATTAATACTGACTTCTGCCTCTACATATTGCAGACCTTTCTGGATGATGGAAATCAAAGCAGCTGGTGGCACCAGAGCACCATTTATATTAGACTGGCTGATATGGCTCTCTATACCAAAGGTAAATGCTGAATGGGAAAACCCTAAAGACAAGGCAAAGACATCAGAATTGATTTACAGACAGACAACGCTACTCGCTGTACCATGGTAGGATCTGTTTACAAACCTGAGCAACTTATACAAAGTTTACAGCATGTTTATGAGCTACAAAAAAACCTCAGCAAAACGCCTCATTTCCCTCATATGTCTCTAATTTAAACACACAAAAGGATAAAAGCGGTGTTTAAATAGGAACACAATTAGAGTATCATTGGCAGAATATTTGTGCATGAGTCAATACAAAAATATAAAATATACAATTCACAACAGCATTTAAACATATTTACATATTCATAAACTACATGTGTGTATTGTCTAATATATAGTACTTATTTTAAAAAAAAATATATATTTATCCAAGACATCAAGACTCACTCGCTGGTTTTACTCAGTGATACCCATGAAAGTGAAAATGGACCTGTACGTAGAGCAGAATTCAGCTCACGGTACTGTGCTGTCATAATTGTGTATGCTTTGGCACCCAGACCTACATCAGCACTGTGCACTGATTAAGAAGTGCCAAACATGTTATGATGCAGCACTGGCAGCTCCTTGCTACTTATTTGATCACCCTGAAAAACTGAATTTAACCTAGAGAAAAATAGTTGTTTCAGCAAATTAACTTTTCTGTCATGGATATTTTCTTAAACCACCTTTTTTTTTTTTTCCCTTTTACCCTGTCAGGTAAGTAAGAAGCTGCCTGAAAACTTTCAAATGAAGATGAAGCAATTTTGTAAGTTTGGCTTCTGTGACAAAAGCAATCTGCAACTGGAATGAGAACATGTAATAGTTTTCAGTAAATTCAGACAGAACAATGAGTTTCTGCTTTCTTTTGACAGGCAGATACTGAAAAACTCTGCCACCCACCATTGCTTCTGGTGCTTCTCTGTCTCTAATTGGGAAGTCCATGAGAAGTGGACATATGTTGCACTAGTCAAATGCATTTTCAAGAAGCCTGAAGCCACCCATCAGCAATCACTAAACAAAACTAAGAATCAGTAAATGCTGAAACAGTAAGGTAAAATACAAATTATATGTGTATTTTTATATATACATATACACATTAAAGTTGATCTCTTACACCCTTGTCTTAAGACTGGAGTGTATTTTTGCTTTAATATGCAGACTTCTTTTATCTACTGCTGAGATCATATTCCCTCCTGGCAGCTGACAGTCATCCCGTGTTCATTTACTAGGGCATGCCCTGACTTCCAGTCAAATCTACCCGTTCTAAATGTAGGCTGCATTAAGCAGTCAATGTCACAGCTGTGAGTAAAGATGATGATGTCTCTTACATAGCTTCAAGAATAACCACCACCACAAAACTCCCTGCAGCCATATGGCCGCATCTAGAAACCCAAACATGCAACACACGCTGCTGATCCGACTGGGTTTGGGAAGCTTTAAAAAAAAAAAGGGAACGCTGCTGCATTCCTGCTTGTGTTTTACAGACACAGTCGGTTTGGATGAATATGACAGGAAAAAGGCTTCTTTTCAAGACTGACAATATTCAACTGCCTTTTACTCCCAAGAAGCAGGAGGTTTTGGCTAGCCTGATGGCAAAGGACAAGATCCTCCAAGAAAGCGTCCTGCAGGGAGGGAGGCTTTTGGGAACCCAAGACTGTAAAAAAAAAATCTGTTCATCTCTATTTAGGTTCAAGTGATACAAGTCATGCAGTCACAGATGCCACTTCTTCATTTGAAGCACAGCAACATCTGCCCTCCCCAAGCCGCATTCAGGCAAGGAATTCAGCAACACAAGACCAGTTTCCAGGAGTACCATCACTCCAAGAACACAGGAAAAAACAGTATTTTGCAGATCATTCTGTTTTCTTCTTCAAGTGGCTCCAAAGAAAATAGTGCAAAGTGCCATGGTCACCCTGCAGAGAAAGTGATCTCCAGGAAAATGCATTTCTAGCAATCGAGTGAGTCCTTGGCTGGTTGACTGCCATCTGAAGACTCCAAATGACTAAATCTGATTAAGTTACAGAAGGTAACTTGGCAGGGATTCGTTCTCTTGTTGAGAAGAAATACCAAGAAACAGTTCAGACAGAAGCACATGCCTACTGGCAAGATAATTAAATGAGCCTGTGTTTGCTAAAGCTGGTTGCAGATGAAGACCAAATAAATTATGCATTGTTTAATAACCAGAATTGCAAAAACTCACCTGACTCTTGCAAGTATCTATATACCAGGAAGTTAACCTCATCACTGCTTATACTCATCTTTATTCCCAGTTAAACCATGAGGTCACAACAAAGGACACAACCCTGCAAATAAAAAGAAAAGTAGGTCAATTAAATATTTTTAGTACCTAATAGGTATTTCCCAGAAAAAGCTATATTTATAAACTAAGTACCTCCCTGGCATCGCAGACAATAGTTTTATTTTATGATGCAAATAAGTCTACTGGAGTCATTAAAAAGGCATTTGTCTCACCACAACATAAAGGTCAGTAAATTAAATATGGAAGGGTCAGATTTTCAAACGATACAAATTGGTATGGACTGGGGAACTATGTTGTTTAATACCAGTACTAAAAATGCCTCATTTCATAGGTTTTAAAAAATAATCAAGTGAGTTTCATCTATTCAACATGGGACACTTTTAAAATATGGCTTTTTCTCTCCCTGGCTAACCAAGAACTTGGTTTCACATTGGTATCCAAGCAAGTTCCCACTTTTACTTTCTAATCTCCTCTTATTTTCAGGTATCCCTTCTCTAGTAAAAAGGTGCAATATGGGCTACAACATGGTGCCTGTTCAAAGAAAGCCCAGTTATTTCCACTAAAAATCAGAAAACATTTCAGCCATAAACTTCAGCTTTGCAAAAGGAATTCTTGACATTAGAGACAAGCTTTAAACAGACCATTTTTAGTAACATTTCTCTAGGCTTTCATTCAACACTTTAAAAATACTGATAGGTATACATATATACAATTTTCCCTTGATTTTATAAATGGTAAACATTTAACAAGACAAATAATGCATCTGACTACATATACTTTGGATGACAAACTTTGAAAACCTGAAGCGATGAAGAGTCTTCGAAACACGAAGAGACAGAATACAGTATTTTTTTTCTAACTCTTAGTCTCATTTTTAAGAACATTCTCATGACTTCTGAATGTTTGAAAACCCTGACCTTTCCAAGTAAACAAGTAAAAACATCAGCTTCCAGAACACATTATGAAATAATGTCTATCTCCTGTACCAACTATCTGTCCAGCGATTTTCATCAGCAATCCTCCCCAGGTTTTCACCCAGCCACCCACCACCATAATTGCTCCAGTACACTAACTTCTAGGGAGTGCAAAAGAAAAGGTAAAGAAAGGACCACTGATACCAACCCCTACTCCACCTCTGCACAGCCACCAGCCATGTCTGGGGTACAAGGCACACCTGTCATATTTCAGTATAATTTGAGGGCTTATTTACTGAGCAGTATGTCAAATGAATGGCATTTTTAGCTTTTTCATGCCTTAGCAACCAATTTCACCATGTGCAGGACCAAACACTAATTTATTCAGCTGTGTTTTGTTGCCACACGTAGCACAAATTATCTTTCTTTAAGATTGTTTGTTACAGGGAAATTATGTAGGAAGAAGAACAATATTTTCCTTCAGAGAAAAAAGGTAATTAACTTTTAAGAGACTCATAAAGAAGCCTTTTTACATTAGGCACACACGCACTAATGGCAGTATTTGTTTCATAGGTCTATCACTGGTTTTTAAGACTTTGCTGCATCACCAAAAAAGACAGATCAAAAGGCAGAAATCAGATGAAAGCACTATTTGCCACACAGAGAAGTCCTGAATTATTAATATAAAGAGGGCTCCCCACTCAAAGCAGAATTGTGGAGATCCCCCATAAATTCACCTGAAGGAAAAATAAAAACCCTAATGTTTTTCTTGTCTATCAAAAGTGTTCCTCACCCTGCCCAAATCAAACGAGCCTCATTTTTTTCAGGGCTAGTTCCAAGTGTTTTCCATAAGACTCAGGCAAGGCAGGAGCTGCCACCCGGCTATCAGGAGGTGGCAGTGCAGCACTGGTTGTGGGACCCTGGCAACCAGAAAAACACAGAAATGCCTTCAATAAATACACCGCCTGCCTAATGAGGACGTGAAAATGAAAAGGGTGCCAAAGGTTCCAGTGTTTTACCAAGATACAGCTTTATCCATTTTTTTTTCTGTGCCTATTTACACTTTCTGAAAGCTTGCTGCTGTGTTTCCCCCAGCCCAGACCCAGGGGCTCAGGCAGTGCCCGGGGACAAGTGTCCACAGACAAGGGATGCAAGGAACTGTGAGAAAAACAAGCAACACCAAACCCATCCTCCCTCCCATCCCAAGGCAAAATGTCCCATTACAGAGGAAATACAGCAGAAGCACAGACAGGAGATGATACAATGATTATTTCCCTTTCACAAGTTCTGAGTTGACACAGGGATGGATTCTGGTTGCCGGATTTAAGCTGCCAACTCTCAAACAGCTGTTGTTTCCACCCCAAGGAACTGCGCTTCCTCCCCTCCTTCTCACTCACAGCTTCCTTGGGAAGCACCCAGTGGGGATGACCCGAGCCAGCAGCAGTGAGGGGATGAGGGTGAAAAGGAGCAGAGGTGGGATGGAGAGGGGACACGCTGGTCGTGCTGCTCTCAGTGCTCATCGCCCACAACCACCCACCCACATCCCTCACTTCGAGGAGTTACAACTTGCTAAGGGTGTCAGCTGAAGAAAGACAGCAATGGCAAAGAAAATAAACCCTCTAACCTACGAACTCCATTTTCCCTGGTGCCCCAACACGGCCACAGGGTTTGTTTGGGAGGTGAGAGAAGAGATTTCTTAGAAGTGGCGTCATGTAAATGGAAACACAAATAGAGGAGGAAAGGCTGAAAATAAGAAAATTACAGGAGAAAAAAATAAATTTATCTCTGTGTATCCACCCACGCCTGTACACATGTATCCCACATAATAATAAATCCAACTCATTAATGCTGGCTTATTTCCCCCGAATCCACTATTTCTATGTGCAGTCAACTACTTATTTTGGGCACTTAATAGATATTAATACTGCTCTTTATTTTAGGTACAGGAATTAAGTCACCAAAGAGGCACAGAAAAATGAGGCAAAAATAAGTAGAAGTTACACGTAACTCCAACCAGTCTTATATTTTTTGCCTAATTTGCAAAGGGATGATTAAAAATATCTTAAAATATTTGCAGCTGTATGTTCCAAACCCCATTCCAAAAATGTAACAAGATCCTTGAGGCCCTTTTTTTCCAGCCCTTAAAAAAAAAAATTCCAAGTCTTCCTCAAAACATTCTGTGGAATTACACGGCAAAGCATGATGCACCCACACTGCTGTTTTAGATCCAAGTCTGCTTTTAAAGGGAATCTCTCCCACTTGCCTCTACTTTTGTTTCGCACATGGGAGCAGGCGCAAGGCATGCGAATGAGACTCCTTACTGGTAAAATTAGGATTAAAGAAATAAAATATCCTATGACGTGTCAAAAAAAAAGGATGTGTGCTGGGGCTTAAAAACCATGCCCAAGTAGCTCATGGGCTTCCAGTCCCTGAGGCCACACCAAGGTCAATATTCACTACTCAAAACCAAGCCCTCTTCAGCACACGCCTTCTCAGGCTCACAACCCACACATCCCTGCAATGCTCAGCAGTGACACAGAGCCAAGGAGACTGGATTACAGCGTGGGTGACTCGTCACCCTGTTCTCCCTCGACCATCCGAAAACACCAAGCCACAGACACTGGATATCTGTAGGATCCCCTTCCGGAGGATGCGCCTGTGGTTTATAACACTGCTGTTCAAATAGAATCTGCACAGTATCCAGGTATCCCAGGTAATTTTTTAATGTTGCTATAGAAATCACCTGAACTCTCAAATTTATCAGGCATTACATGTATCACTCTATACAGACGCTGGTCTTAAGATTTACTTAAAACCACAGGTCAGGAACAGACCAGACACACGCCTTGCACTTTACACAAACTGACCCACTCGTTCCGTGTCAGGAATCACTTAAAAGCTCTTCTGGAAGCTACTTTTTAAAAAAGGAAATGAGGGTTTTTTTCCCAGAGACAGCACATCAGGTCTGACTTTGCTCCCTAAAAGCAAAACTGTGCCTGTGTTTCAGTACCTGCCAACACCAAATCAGACAGGGCAGGTCTCAGCCCAGCAACTCCATCCCTTGAGAACAATTCACACACTTCATACTTTGGGTAAAATTTACAAGTAAAATCCATTAAATAAGGAGATCAAATTCTGCTCTCACCAACACCGGATCTGCAGGCTAATGGGTTCCCAACAGTGAAAATCTGATTGTATTTCTGACAAACCATTATTCCACACTGCATGTTTATTATAGCTTTGTACTCCTCTTCCAGGTTCATGCCAAATGCTGGAGAACAGATGCTGCCCGATATGGCTCCTGGCCTAATAGGGTTTTTTTGTTGTTCTGGGTTGGTTTTTTTTTCAGACAAACCTGAACTGGCAGAGAAAGTTTATACATGAGATTAGCGCTCTGTATCTCTTAATCACCATTTGATAATGTACACTAGATTTACACTACAATTAGAGTTATTGTATCATCAAATAACAGCCTAAGAAAGTGGTATTTCTGCAGTTGTAGGTGGGCTCTAACACATCCTTATTAGGTAGGATAACAGGAAAACCTGGCAGGTTGCTATGAATAATTCCCCAAAACATACCAATCATTAGTTTGATACCAGATATGATATGTTAAAGGGAGCAGCTACTGCTCAGGGTAGCTCTGAAAAATGCTTAATGTTCTGATATAGGCAGGCTGCTACATTTATCCAGGGAAAACAGAAGTCTGGCTACAGAAACAATAAATCCCCTAGAACAGAAATATGGCCACTAGAGCTTTTATTTTTTCCTGTTTTGCAAGAAATCCAGACAAGTATTTTTCTGGCATGTGTGCACATAGACAGTGACACCATTTTATTAACTGTTGCTTAAGAATCTTCCTTGTTTTAATGACCACGATGATTTTAAAAATAAAAGAAAGAAAAAAGGCAAATTATGTGACTCCACCTGGGAACGTGAATTTTTTTTAATGCCACCCAAAAAACCTGAACATGCCTACAAGTCCTTTGGAACGTTTTATTACCATTCCACTTTACATTTTTATCAGTTGTCATAAAAATAATACTTCAGTACTGCACGTGAGGCACAATTCCTCCTTGTTATGCTTGGCCACAAACACTGTGAGTCCCTCAGCCAGGCGAACCTGCTG